GGGCAGGCGACGTCGGCGAGGACCTCGTCCTGCATGGCGTTGAACTCGTCAGGGACGTCGAGCCCGGCGAGCTGCTGCCGGGGTGCCCTGCGCGAGCACGGTCGAGCGCGGCGGCTACGAACCGCAAGGCGGCGCAGCCCGCCGGGGTCCCCGCCCTCTCGGCGGCGGCCCGCAGGGCGGCGGCGGCGCAGCCCGAGAGGATCCCCACCCTCTCGTCGGCGTCGCCCCGGCTGACGGCGGCGAGGCGGCGGCTGGGCCCGCCCAGCGCGGCCGCGCCCGGGTGGCCCGCGAGTGGGTACGGGGTGGTGATGAGCACCAGCTCGATGACCCCCGCTGTGCCGCCGTGCCGCTGCGCGCGGTGCAGCACGGCGCCGCGCGCGCGCGCGCGCCCCACGAGGATGAACCCGACGACTGGACTATGAAAATATTCGAGCGGCGACGTGGACACCGTCATGCTCGTCGGACCCGTCGAGGAGGAGAAGCTCACCGGCCACAACTCCGGCGGGGAAGTGGCGGGGAAGTACACTTCCCCCAGCTACAGTGTCTTTTCGGGGCTCTGCCCTCGGTGCCCTCGCTACAGGTTTTCTGCCCCCCCCCCTCCCCCACACACACAACACTAACATGCCATGCCGGTGCGCACATCCTGGCCGTGGCCATCTCCATCAACCTGAGCTGGAGTCGTTTACCATGTGCAGTTGCTGCTGGCCGCGCGTGGCTGCAGTTTTTGTGCCTCCCCCCCCCCCTCCTTTCCCACAGAAGATGAAGTGAAAGTTGTATCTAATGTACTGTGTTGTCTTGGTGTCTGTAGGTATGTCTTGAAGTGCATTCTGTCTGGTGAGACGCAGCTCCTATCGAGGGACTCGGGGTACCTCCCTGGCCCACATTGGACTCCTGTTTGCAAATTTTACCTGTATGTGGACATGTAAGTTGTAATACATTGTAATACATTGGTTCACTTTGTTCTTGATATGAAATGTTGCAATCCTTTTTTTACTAATTTATTTCCTCCTTTGTGTCCGTAGGCATTCCCCAGGTATCAAGGCTGTTTCTTTTCAAGATTGGTTTCGTACCTCATTGACCCAAGATTTTAGTGTGTAACGTAGAAAAACTTGCCAATTAAGTATTTTAAATTTTTTTGAATATTACCTCCTTACCAAAATTAGAGAATGTTAAGGGACCTTAGAAGAAGCTGTAAACCAAATTTGGTGACAATTTGAGACCATTTATTTTTGCTATCAGAGTTACGCTAATATGCCTAATTTTGTTGATATCTTTGATCATAGAAAACAGAAATCCCACAGTTTACCATTGGTGTCTTAGAATCAGTTTTTTATCCTCTTTAAAATGGTGTAGTCAGATTTTACCCCACTAGACAGATTCACATTCACACTATCTATACCATCTTTTTAGGCCGCAGTTTTGCCATTTGTCAATTAAATATAGAACTTTCTAACCCAGAATGGGTATGTTTGTGGTCGAATTTCCTGTAATATTATTTTATGGTTCTTTTGGTTTCTACTACTGTGTCGGCCATATGTATACACACTTTCAACTTCATCAATACTTTTAAGTAAATAAACTGATATGAGGAACTCGTATATGAACGATATCTGTAGTTATGATTTCTTTCCTTATTTCCCCCAAAGAAACTGGAGATGTTTAGAAAAAGGACTATGCTTTTGTTAGAGATAAAACATTTTCAAAGAATATATTTGGATAGACAAAAATAATAAAAAGTACAGGACACTTCGTATCGACCACCACACAAATGTTAAAATTTCTATAACTGCGCACAAATCATTCATAAAACTATGGACGAATCATTATGAAGAAAGGACATGAACATGACATGGTTGTTTTACCGAAGTAACTATAAACACATTTTGCAATGACAAGCAAATAACTAAAAACAATACAACTTATAGTACTAAGTAGAATGCAAAATTCTTTCTATAGAGAACACCTCCTGTATTTCTAACAGCATCCAGTGAACTGAATAGTCGGTTAGACTGAGGTTGAAAAGCCATAACAGTAAGAACCTTAAAAAAATGAAAATGTATACATGCACAAATCAGTCTTAATATTTTTTTATAAAATATTATATGAACACAAAGGAGACCAACATGACTTATGGTTGTACCAAGTCCCTGAACACATTATGTATTAAATAAAATACATACATAAGACAATAAACTTGAAGTAAGAAATAGAATATGTAAAATTCTCTCTAACATTAAGAATAATGTTCCATTTTGTTAGTACTTTTCTCGTTCTTCGGATAGAGCAGCAGCATCATCAACTACCTCTTCAGGACGAATGTCATAGTTAAAATCAACTAGTGTATTATCAGTTCTCAGACTTAGGTAGAATGCATGATGCCTTGGTTCTATGAGATTAAACAGCTTGCACAGATCTTCTTTCTTTTTAGTTGAAATTGGGTTAGAGTTGTCTTCAATTCTGATTAACTCCTTTCTGATGTGAGAGACTTTTCTTCCCTTTCGCAAGAAATCAACATGGCAGAATGGAGAATCTTCCATATGGTCAGATTTCACTTGAACGATACCTTTCAAGCTTTTCTTATAACGAAACCAAAATGTTTCTAGATATCTGAATTCACTTTTGTCCGTATCTTTGTCCCTTTTTATTAAAGGACCATTGTCTTTTGATTCAAGAAGCCTCTGAAAGTCGTAAAAATGGTCTTTCATATGGATTACGGTGAAATTTCCATTTCCTGCTGATTCTACAATCTTATACCAATCAGATGGCACAATGGCCATGTCCTCCGAGCGCTTCTTGTACCTTTCGATCAATGAGTGACGGCTATCACACTCCATACGAGTGTGTCCTGGGACTAGGAATATATGGTCAATAGTCTGTAGAGAAGTGCGCCGATCTTGCAAGGCTGTGAGCAACATTGAACAGATAATGCTGTTCCTGTTCTGGCCTGAACAGCAGTCTGAGAACAGTGTTAACTCTGTGACATTTTCTCCCATTTCTGTAGTAATATAATGGA